AGAGCGGCTGCCAAGAGGGCAATGTTGTTAGCTGCTGCTACAGCTTGGGCTCCCAAATTGAAGGACTTCTCTAACAGCTGTGCTGTGAGACGGTCCTTCTGAGATGGCAACGTGGCTTTTCTGGAAGAGGGCCAGGGACTCGAACCCGGTACGAGATACGCCGCCATGGCGCTCTCTAACCTGGGGATTCCCTTGACTTGGCCCTGGAACCTTCCCTCCACTCTAGTGAATGGGAGGTACGATTTAACCGGCGAACGCGCCGCTAAAGGTGCCTCCCATGAGCCCTCGACATATTTAGCCAAAGAAGGCATGGCAGGAGCCAGTGGCTCTGCCGCTCTTCTTGGCCTGGAATACGGGCCGCCCTCCATTAAATCAACCTCCGGTGCGGAGGGAACAGGGGGCAGCGGTATCTCCAGCCGTCTGGCAGCTCTCTCAATGAGACCCGGAAAGTCCGTCCTCAGAGACGCTGCGGCGAAGGACAGGGCTTCTGATTTCTCAGCGCCCGTGTCGTCATAGGAACTACAAGCCCTCTCGCTAACCAAAGGAAAGGGGGGCTTGAATGTATGAGGGACGGGGTCTGACTGTTACATAGGAATGTCAGTCTCTTCCTCATAGTCCCTATCATCCCCTGAGTCTGCGCCGTCAGACGACGCCTCTGAAGCAGAGACTAGTATTGACAACACATCCTCTAGGGGGATATCCTCCCTAAAAAACACCCAGCGCTGCTTCCTCTCCTTTGTAGAAAGGAGGGCGCAGGAGGTGCAGTTAGGGGGACTGCAGACGCCCTCTTTGGCATGCTGGGACCCTAGACACACGAAACATAAGTCTTGGGAGTCGCCGGCCGCCATGGAGGAGCATCTGCATTGAGCTCTGAAAAGAGCTTTTGGGGGTGGAAAATCTCCTGGTGTGCTCATTTTAGGACGACGTCGATGACTGGAAAATCGACGGCGTTTTCTTCGTCCTGAGTCTTCTCTTCTTCTCTTCGTCTCTTCTTGGCTTCTTCAGTCTAGTCCAGTCGCTGAAGATAAAGGGAGGCTGATTGAGGGGAGGCATCCCCTCTTATAGGGACACCTGTACTCCTATTGGCTGCAGGTGTGTGCATAATTTTGTCTCAGGCTGATGCTGCCTTAGGGCAGTGGGTAAACCAATAGGAGCAGAGCTCCCCTATGGGGCGGAGCTCCACGATATAGAACCTAAACTTTAGGGCATAACTTTACGCGCGCATTAATAGCCTACACGCCAATCGCTTTTGGGAACTGGCAGAAAAAGCTAATGTAGATCCGCTGAGGCAAAAAGGACAAAGTCGGAGTTTATTCAATAAGAGAAAAGATACGAAATGGAGTTGAAAATAAAGAGAAGGTAGGGCCAGAAAAGTAATGTTCGGGAAAGATTTGGTGAAGTGGTAAAAAAAACATGACAGCAGTGCCCGCTATGTTATGTGTGATGATTGTGAGGCGCTATACAAATTCGACAGTCACAAGACCGGGACTTCAAATAGGTCTAGGGGGCACGTCAAGGGAACTGTAGCCTACTGTTCAGATAGGTGAAATGAAAACTGAAATATGGACACTGTATTTCTATAACTTCTCACATAGTCTTAATATGAACTCCTGCAGAATTAAGCATTTCTTGCAGTAAAATTATACACCAAATTTATATTTTGACTCGGGAAGAGGAGAGGAGAATTATCATTTATTTATTTCAGTATTTTTAGAGAATGTGAATGCGTCTGTAGAGGTGCTATCTTTTCGGCATCATAAAAGCTGATAGTATTTCAACCACATAAAATATGCATCCAATCCGAATTTAAATCTTATCAGAAACATTTTGGGACGTATTCACAGCTATCGATTTCCTTACAACTGGTCAAACTGATGTAATTTAGAAATTTTGCACAGAAAATGTTTCCCATTTTGAATTAATATTGCGATTTCAGTGCCAACAGAAATTATTAGAATTTTATAATTTAGCATTTTTATTAGGATATTGAATTAGAATGCAATATTTTTTGAATGTTTAATGCACTAATTGAATAATTGAATTCATAAATTGAACATGTATTTTATGATTAGAAATGTAATTAATATTGTATTTGTTTTAAAATGTAATGTCAATTGAACTGAATATTAAAATTAAGTATTTATATATTCAGTTTAAATATGGTAGATATTGCATTCAAGTCTGTGTATCAAGTTTGCAAACCATCATTTCAAGTTAATCAACATTCATTTATTAAACATTTCAGATGAATTCAGATTCCGTTTTAAAATTCAGTTCTCTAAATACAGAATCAAAACTAGAAACAACATCCTGGTACTTTGCCAGCCAGGAAAGTTAGAGGAGAACAGATAGAATCAAACACTCTGTGGTGAACAGAAGCTTCTGGCGGTTTCTGAAGCCAATGTGGCATGTTTAATTTATTTTCTTACTATGAATTTGGCTCTAACGTTTGAACCGCTTTGGCTATAAGCTATTATGACCCCATTCCTGAAAGCTACGACTCTCTGGAGCATGTATATGCTTTCTGTTCCCCTCTATGATGATCACAGGCCTGTGATCATCATAGAGGGCATCCTCCCTCCCTTTCAAGTAGCACTGCATTTAGGCTTATCATGAGTGTTGGACCTGGTGGGATATATGGCGCGATTTCAGTGCCAACTGAAATTTCATTTGAATTTTATAATTTTGAATTTGTATTAGGATATTGAATTAGAATGGCATATTTTTGAATGTTTAATGCACAAATGGAATAATTGAATTCATAAATTGAACGCAATATCTACCATATTGAAACTGAATATATAAATATTGAATTTCAATATTCACTTAAATTCAGTTCAAATTATGAATTCTATGATACAATTTGTGCATTACATATTCTAAAATGTTACACAAAAATGTCACTAATACAAATGCAAAATTATGGAATTAAAATACAATTTTTGTAGGCACTGAAATCGCACCATATGGGTAGCTTAGGCTACAGCAGAATATGACTGATGTTTATTATTTGGTAAACCCAAAACACTCAGCTGAAATCTGCCTTGTATAATGTTATTTTTCAATATGCAAAAAGGAACACACAATTTACTAAGTGCCTGCTTACTGTCTTGTGTGCTTCAAGAGCCTTTAAATATATAGCTAAATGGGTGGGGTAGGGGTTACATCAAATTCAGTACCAGCCGATAGCCTACCTGTATCTCTGTCATCGCTGCTGTCAAAACTGTTCAATCCCTAGGGTAATATATAATTTACATACAGTACCAGTAAAAAGTTTGGACACACCTACTCATTCAAGGGTTTTTCTTTATTTTTTTACATTGTAGAATAATAGTGAATACATCAAAACTATGAAATGACATATATGGAATCATGTAACCAATAAAGTGTTAAACAAATCAAAATATATTTTATATTTGAGATTGTTCAAAGTAGCCACCCTTTGTCTTGATGACAGCTTTGCACACGCTTGGCATTCTCTCAACCAGCTTCATGAGGAATGCTTTTCCAACAGTCTTGAAGGAGTTCCCACATATGCTGAGCACTTGTTGGCTGCTTTTCCTTCACTCTGCCGTCCGACTCATCCCAAACCATCTCAATTGGGTTGACGTCGGGGGATTGTGGAGGCCAGGTGATCTGATGCAGCACTCCATCACTCTCCTTCTTGGTAAAATAGCCCTTACACAGCCTGGAGGTGTGTTGGGTCATTGTCCTGTTGAAAAACAAATGATAGTCCCACTAAGCCCAAACCAGATGGGATGGCATATCGCTGCAGAATGCTGTGGTAGCCATGCTGGTTAAGTGTGCCTTGAATTCTAAATAAATCACAGACAGTGTCACCAGCAAAGCACACCCACACCATAACACCTCCTCCATGCTTTATGGTGGGAACTACACATGCAGAGATTATCTGTTCACCCACACCGCGTCTCCCAAAGATGCGGCGGTTGGAACCAAAAATCTCAAATTTGGACTCCAGACCAAAGGACACATTTCCACCGGTCTAATGTCCATTGCTCGTGTTTCTTGGCCCAATCAGGTCTCTTCTTCTTATTGGTGTCCTTTAGTAGTGGGTTCTTTGCAGCAATTCGACCATGAAGGCCTGATTCACACAGTCCACTCTGAACAGTTGCTGTTGAGATGTGTCTGTAACTTGAACTCTGTGAAGCATTTATTTGGGCTGCAATTTCTGAGGCTGGTAACTCTAATGAACTTATACTCTGCAGCAGAGGTAACTCTGGGTCTTCCATTCCTGTGGCAGTTCTCATGAGAGCCAGTTTCATCATAGCGCTTGATGGTTTTTGCGATTGCACTTGAAGAAACGTTCAATGTTCTTGAAATTTTCTGGATTGACTGACCTTCATGTCTTAAAGTAATGATGGACTGTCGTTTCTCTTTGCTTACTTGAGCTGTTCTTGCCATAATATGGACTTGGTCTTTTACCAAATAGGGCTATCTTCTGTATACCACCACTACCTTGTCACAACACAACTGATTGGCTCAGACGCATTAAGGAGGAAAGAAATTCCACAAATTAACTTTTAAGAAGGCACACCTGTTAATTGAAATGCATTCCAGGTGACTACCTCATGAAGCTGGTTGAGAGAATGCAAGAGTGTGCAAAGCTGTCGTCAAGGCAAAGGGTGGCTATTTGAAGAATCTAAAATATATTTTGATTTGTATAACACTTTTTTGGTTAATACATGATTCCATATGTGTGTGTTATTTCATAGTTTTGATGTCTTCTCTATTATTCTACAATGTAAAAAATATTAAAAAATAAAGAAAAACCCTTGAATGGTGTGTCCAAACATTTGACTGCTAGTGTATATTACATTATTTATTGATAAAATAGAGGATTCGGTTTATAAAATAATATACCTACATTATCCTACTTTAGGCCATTATTAATTGGCTACCCCCATCTTTCTTGTAAACTGGAATAACCATCAACAAATGACAAATAAATCATGTTTTAAAATGTACTTTATTACTATATTGAGCACTTAATAAAAACAGATACATGGAAAAGGTGAGCATTTGTCACAGTCTAGGGCTAGGCTACCCATAGCATTTGATTTCTGTCTGCAAATCCATTAAAATGACATTTAATATCAGTCTACATTTAAAAAAGGAGTCATAGTGGTGATCAGGGAGAGTGAGAGACCCCCACGATGGCTGGGGGAGGACAGAGGTGGCATGGGGGTGTTATGATTGTGTTTGGGCAGTATGAGCACCTGACTGTTGGGCTGGGGCTGGGCTGGCCACCCTCTCTAAGTTCTGGGCTATGGCGGCTGATGAGTGTCTACACTTTGGAGAGCAGCACTGGCAGCTGTAATACTTGCTCTTGACCTTCCAGAAGTGATCACCGTAGTCAAACCTGAATGGGGAACACAGGGTAGCCATCAATGCACATGTACTGGAACCTATTCCTTGAGTATGTTGATTGATTCTATAGCCTAACATTAATAAAACATAGAAAATAATAATTGTTTTATGCGTCTCACCCAATCTGATCGCCTGACTGAATGGGCTTGCTGGAGAAGAAGGCAATGCGTGGGAACCGCAAGTCCTGATGCATAGTGAACACTCGGACTGCTAGCAGGTTAGGTTCACACAGGTGGTTAATAAACCTGCCGATGTTGCCAAAGAGTCGCGCATCAATACAGTGCACATCACCCACCTGCAAGACAGTAGACGAAGCAATCACTCACTAAAATAATTGAATAGAATCACACATTAGTTAAGGCTGTCATGTTGATCCCTCCTGTGAGGCAGTAGCATAGACAGTCATTAAATTGTACAAGTTTCAATATGCTTTAGTGTAACAAATAGCCATCAAGCAAACTATGAGCGAATGCAGTAGAGAAGTGTTGTAAGAGGAACATGTATGAAAATAATGTTGTCTCGGACTCTGTGGCATTGTGTTCTCTGCGGCACCTCCCATTGGTATACAAAAGTACTGTACAAACATTATGCCACAGTAACAATACTACTGTCAACTTCAGAATACGCCATTGGCCAATAAAAATGTGAGTTTCTCATAGACGTAATTTAAAAATCACCTTATTGTCCAGGGTGAAGAGGAATGAGTCATTTTCCCTGCCATCTGCCTCTGCATCAGTAATGATTTCACCCACATACCTGCACAATAAAGAGCAAGCCTGCTGTATATAATCTGTGTAACCACAACATTAAAATGAAGTGAAAAACATACTTCCTGTTTTAACATTATCTGTTCATGACATCAATATTGGCTCATGTCATTTGTATACCATAAAACATAAATCGTAAGTGTTCTTCCTGATTCTGAAACTACAATAAAACAAGACATTTTTATAGTTATGGTTGGGCACTTTTCCAAACACTTCAATTCAAGCATGTCTTCCATAACATTCAGGGCCTCACTCGCAAATGAAAGTTCCTTGAGGAATATCCTGCAGTGCCCTCACACCCCAGCCCATCCTCTGGGTTTTATAGAGCTGCAGCCGAGCCCTGAAAACAGAGAAGAGAAGATCCAGTCCAACTAACTGATAAATACTGTACAGGAAATAGACAAAAATACAATTGTCAGATATGACTGTGCAGTGTCACACTGAAGCCATATTTGATCAAGTGTACAGAGAAACTAATGTTATCGTGCTTGGCTGAAATACTGTATTCAACAGAAAGGTAGACATTAGATGCTGGTGGGTTAGGGAGGATCTGTTACCTAAGTCCATTCTGAACCACACGGTTCCTGCAGCTCCTCCAACAGGAGCAGGCGTGGTTACACTCAAACAGGACCGGAGGCTCCTTCTGACAGAACTCCAGAGGCAGACGCCCTTCCTGAGCAACCAACACAGGTAACACATCACATATGGGAGCTGCGAGAGTCCATAACGTCCATTTGAAATACATGAAAGCAATAACTTTCCCTTGTAATGTGAACTTCGCCTTCTAATGTGAACTTTGCCTTGATGTAGTTATGTACTTACTTTGTCATACCAACAGCGCAGGCTGAGCTGGGCACACATGCAGGTATTTGAAGAGCAGTCATCTGTACATACACAATGCTGAAATAGGAGGAGAGTGAGATCTTTATTAAACAACACTTGTCGAGAGTAAGTATGTCACTTGTTCTGGCCCACAGTAACTTATGAAGCAGAACAAGATGGGATTGGACATTGACTGTGTTTCACAGAGCACTGGAGGTTCACCTGTAAGTGAGTGATGTCTTTGTCTATATTAATTGGGGAGGTGACACAACTGTCAGGGACGTATTTGTAGTTATCAGGACAGGAGTCACTGTCCACCCCGTTCACACAGGTGATGGGGACTGCCTCATACCCCCGAGAGATGTCCCTGAAGAGGACAGAGAGGAGGACAAATAATCAACACATCTACAATAATTACAATGTATTAGACCCCTTCATATTCCCTCTTTCCTCTGTAAGCTAGACCATGCTGTTCTACCTGCAAAGGACCTTCTCTCTATGACTGTCCCTGCTTCTCCTGGCATCTGTCAGCTTCTTATTGGTGTTCAGGGACACCCACACCTTAGAGTTGTAGATACAGCAGTCCAGAGGGGTCTCCCCCTCTCTGTTCTTCAGGTTCACGTCTGCTCCTTGGGACAGAAGCAGTCTGGAGGAGCAGACATCATACTGGATGTGGTTAGGATCTCTTACACCCCCAGCATGGCTATGGTTCAGCAGTATGACTGCCACCCAATGGCCAGGCTAGAGCAGTCACAGTCTCTGGATGTGTGTATCTATGATGTGTTGTATATATATAAAAAACTGGGCTCATTGCAGGTTAGTGCGCTTATGATAATCTATCTACTTATCCAGGTGGGATAGGCTATTGTTCAAGAACAACCTGGTGTCAAGCTGCAGCTCTGGGAGAACAGAGACTGGTGTACTACTCACGTCACACATTCCAGTTGGTTCTCCCTGGCAGCGATGTGTAGAGGTGAGTCCCCATGGACATTGACTGCATGGAGGTCACATCTGGCATCAAGCAGGATCTGAGCAATGTCATCGGAGCCAGACAGGGCTGCCCAGTGGAGGCAAATGTTCTCTTCCTGGACAGGGGTCATAGGTCAACGTGGAAAACATAGCCAGGAGGAATACCTTCCCCAAACACCACAGAGAAAGCGCAACATCTAAAAGCTATCTTGAAGGCAAATGTTTCAGTTTTTTAGGCATTTATGTCAAGCGTAACAATATACAGGTATGTCACCTACGGTATACAAATGTCTGAGGAAGAAATTATCCTCATACAGACCAATTGATATGTTCTCCTTTTTCAAACATACAATAGTTATTGCTATGAGTTAAGTCGTTTCTTCCTCAAGATAGTTAGTGGACTAGTAAGTATGCTCCCAAGGTGACATTCCGAAACATCCCTTTAACTTGGATTACACCATGTACTGTAGGTGAAACACATGCACCCCATGGGATCCATCCCACTTGTCAGTGAGTACTGTAACCTTGCCTGGGTCTAGCCTCCCCTCCCCAGGCTGTAAGAGGTGTGAGAACAGAAGGTAGGTGTAAAGTGTTGCGATGAGATGTGATGAACAGTATGCGTCCTATACAGTACTGACCTTGTCTCGGATGTTAACATCAGCCCCTCTGGAGAGCAGCAGGAGGACCAGCTCTCTGTGCTTGTACTCTATAGCCCAGGTGATGGGGGTCCACCCACCGTCATCCTGAAACAAAGCACAACCAATCGCTGCTTTGAACTCTGCTACCCATTTGAATATTTGGAGGTATGCTTTTACCAATGGTTCTAAAAAGGTGGCTGTAGATTCTCTTATTGTACACACTATGTGAAAAGGCATTAATTTACTAACAGTTTGTAGGCATTAAAATGAAAGGCAAAACATGGTAAATCCCCTGGAATCATGATAACAGATAGGAGCAATCTCAGTCTCTCTTTCCTGTTAAGGTCAGGACTTTTACAATCCATTTAATATTACCCACAACATATTTAACATCCTAATAGGCACTGTTGAACTGGGCTGACTTCCAACTGCACTGACCTCCAACTCATCCTCCCAAACCCTTGCTGATAGTACACATGAATTATGGATGGATAAAAGAGTGGCGGTTTGAATTAAGCAGTTAAAATGTCAACAGAACCTGTCAGTAGAAGAGGGAGCAGAGCATGGATAGGTACATACCTGACAGTTGACCTGCTTGGATGCCTTGGACAGGAGATGTTGAACTACGTCATAATGTCCCAGTTTAGCAGCCAAATGCAGACAGGTTGAGCCCTTGATATCCTGACAGGAGAAGAAGATCAAAATCAAAATGTTAGTCACTCCTTTTATTAATTACTATTTAAAGAAGCACAGATCTTGAGCTGCTACAGTATCTGGTTAATAGTTTAAGACGTGAGCGTGTCATGGACTTAAAATAGTTTGATCACTTTCCATCTACAGTACACCAGAAAACCAGCTCATTTAGCGAAGGTCTTGTCAATTTTGCGTAATTTGGTCAGCTGCATGATTAATTTCTGTATTCTTATGTGTTAGAAATTGAGAGTTCTTGCAAAAACAAAGTCTCCACCCTCGCAAAAGGAAACTCCCCCCTCCCCCTCCAATCCGTGTGGGCACACGCGCATAACAGTTTAAGCACCGCCTTCCCCAATCCTAATATGTTCAAATAACCAGTGACAAAAAATAAATAAACTGAACTAATGCTGCTCGGATCTCACACATTCCATTAATTCCTGGCAGATTCTCTCGGTCTACACACAGAATCTGCCCACGGAAGATTATATGAACGGTAACAATGCTGGTTGGGTTAACAGAAGATCATGGCCTATCCATGGGGTGATCAATGAGCTATGCTCCACACACTGACCTTATGGCTGAGCGCTGCCCCGGCCCTCAGCAGGTACTTGACTGTGTCCAGATGGTTGTTCTCGCAGGAGTCCATCAGGGGGGTTCTCTGCTCCTCATCAAACGTGTCCAGGTTAGCTCCAGCCTAAGGGGGATGGGGAATCAGAAACCTTTCCCACATGTATGCTTACACAGTATAATAGAGTGGAAATTCTGTCCTGTCTGGGACGCAAAACATCAACCCTCTGCACAGTAAACACAACGTACTCAAGAAGCACAGTCAATACCGACCCAGAAAAGCAAAGTCATGTTCTTGTTGTAGCGAAGCTAACTTAGCCATCTGCTACACTTGTATGCCAAGTGATTATATTGTGAAAAGATAGCCAATACCTGCTACATGTCAGAGTACATCTCCTCACCTGGACAAGCATGTGACAGACCTCCTGGTGTCCTTCAGCTGCTGCAGCATGTAGAGGGGTCCTCTTGTTCTGGCTGTCCATCAGGTAGTTAGGGTCTTTTCCATCCACTGGAACAAAGCTGTTAATTACCCTTTGAGTCATGTTGACAACTTTCTCCTCAGGGACACTAAAGTATATAATTTAATATCATTCATGAAAATAAATAAATAAGTTGCTGTCACCTTTTTCATTTAAGTTAAAATATTAGAAGAGCTGCCTCCATGTAGGAACTAACTAGGCTTATAAAGTAGCCCTGGAGAGATGTGGTGTGTAAATACCCAGCAGATGGATGACTTTCTGGAGCTCTCCGTGATGGGCAGAGATGTACAGCTGCTTCGTGTGATACTTCACTTTCTTCGGCCTCATACTATATACACAAAAGAGAGAGGGTGGTGTGGTGGGGTGGGTAGAGTGCCTATTACATTAATCATTGACATGAAACAATAATGACCTGCTATGTTCATTATATAGTATTATCTCATCCAAATTGTTAAACGTTTATTAAGGAATGACTTTAAAATAGCTCCCTTGTAACTTTACTTTTCATCATCCAGGGCCATTAGGATGCTCTCCAGTGATGTTTTAGCTGGTTCCTCTCCATCACCTAACGTCTCCCTCTTCAGGCTAGTACAAAACAGCATACAGCAATCATTAGCATTACATATTAAGCTAAATACCCAAGCTAGCACTAATGCAGAGATAAAAAGATACAAGAGACACATTAGGATAGAGGGGGATAATATTGAGAATGGAAGAGTCAAGTCTGAACTGCCTGTTGGGGGAGGTGTCCAGCCTCCTCTCAAGCTCAGTGGTCTTCTTAGCCCTGTGAATGAGGGGCCTGGTGGACACAACTGGAAGAGGGGCCACAGGGTAAACAGCAGGAACAGCTGGCACAGAAGGAAGTACAGGTTCAGCTTTGGGGACAGTGACACGATTGGAGACCGTTTTGGGAACAGTGACTTCCTGGGCCCCGGTGGCATCCTCCCCACAGTGGGGACAGAAGCTCTGGGCCTTGATGACTGAAGCACAGCCACGGTGGAAACGGTGAGAGATGCTGCCATAAGGTCTGCACTCCATGAAGCTCCCCTGCATAACATACATTAAATAGTCAGATATTAAAAGGCAAAGGAGTGCTTTAAGAATGAACAACGAACATGTATCATAAAGCAATGGGACAGGTGTGCCAGCCTGCCAGGTCTATTTTGGTTGATCCCTGCTGTATCCCTCCACTTACCGCCCTGCAGAAGAGGCCACAGCCAGGGCAGCACTGGTGCTTGACCATGCCGGCCCTGTGGTCCTCACACAGAACCAGCAGATGCACTGCGTTGGAGGGACGCATCATCTCATGCTTCAGCACACTCCTCTGACACCGACTCACCTATAGGGAAGAGATTAACAGAGAGATTGATAGAAAGAATAAACAGAGAAATAAGGGTTGTTTAGACATTAGCTCAACACACAAAGGCTGGGAAAGGTTAACCTCATCCCCAGGCTATTTCACCCTTTGGGGAGAAAATCTGGTGCGCAAGACTAGGGAAAGTTTGCTTCAGAGCAGGTCAGCTTTACCAGGCCATCCACACTCTCTGTGGCCATGCAGGTGTGCTCAGTCTGGGACAGGCTCTCCCAACTGCATGGGGTCTCCATGCGACAGCAGCACAGAGGCAGCTCTTCAGACAGGTCTGTCTCTGTCACCTCACCATCAACTGGAAAGCCTGCAAAAGAATACATCCAGATCAACAACAGATTGAATGTACATCATTGTACAAGTATAATTTAATAACTAATGATGCAATGTGTAACTCGTCTCTGGGTAAACTATATACACACACTGTATATATATTTTCTGTTGTATTTTTTGACTTTATGTTTTTTTACCCCATATGTAACTCTGTGTTGTTGTTTTTATCGCACTGCTTTGCTTTATCTTGGCCAGGTCGCAGTTGTAAATGAGAACTTGTTCTCAACTGGCTTACCTGGTTAAATAAAGGTGAAATAAAAATAAAATAAAAAATATAAAATAAAAACTTACCTGAGAGAGGAGGAGAGAACAGCTCCTCTTGGGCTTTCAGATCCAGCGATTCTAAAGTCAGTTCAGTGTATTCCTGCTTACTGCTGCTGTCCTCTTCCTCCATTTTGTTTCCTTTGCTTAAGTCAGTTGCCTTTTCTTCACACTGCTTGGCTAACAGTGCTTGGCTTTCTTTTATTTCACAAATCTCTCTGTGCGTCAGGTCTACTCTCTTCTCCCTGCCGCTTTCTTGCCCTGCCTTTACAAATGAGCTTTCTTTCTGCAGAGAGAAGGGGATAACCATTCAGACACTATTAGAGCAAAACAAAGTTCATCAACAGTGCATTTCTACACAAATCTTTACAATAGAGTAGATGGGTCTCTTACCTTCAACACCTTGGTTTTTTTCTTAGGGACAAAGTTGTACATTCCCATCTTCCTCTTCCTCTTCCTAGACCCTGCAGATACATAGGGACGGTGAAGTGGCAGAAGGTGGTCCAAGCAGGCAAGTACAGTATGTCACTCATAACTAGTCCCAACTTAGTACAGGTGCCAACTAACTCCAAGTGCCATCACTACAGAGTGGACATAAGAGACAGTGTAGATAGAAGAAGTCTTACCAGCAAGGCAGACGACTAACCTGGCTGTGACTTGGTAGAGACAACTCTCTTTCCTTTACAGCTCGGAGGTAGCTTGATTTGGGAAGGTGCCATTGACTTTTCCATCCCCATGACTTCCATGCTCGACTCTGCTCCGTCCCTGGTTAAACGCTTCATAACAGACTCTTATGAGTTCAGACACCAGTCATCATTTAAAAGCATGAAATACCATGGACTGGGGTTGGATGAACATTACCTTCAGTGCTGCTGGATTGGAGGCAGGTTTGCCCATAGTCTTCCATGCACACTGTGTACTGGATGCTGGGGCAGGGACCAGAGATGGATTGCTAGGAGGTTGTACATCTGAGATCCCTGCTATAACAGCTTCTCTACCACTGTCTGCAGGAGTTGGAGGGGTTTTGGTCAGTCCATGGGGTGAACCACCTTTCCTTTGAGGGGTTGCCCTCGCTTGTTTTTTATGCAGAATAAAACCATTGGAGCCAGCGACTGAGCCGTGAACAGATGTCATCTTGGTTTTGGCTTTTTTGTTGACGTGTGATTTAGCACTCAGAGCCTTCTTCCCCTTGGCCCCTGTGGGTGTGACAGAGGGGGGGTTAGGATGTATTTTCCCTGCCTCTGATTCCTGACTGACTCCCCTGCGCTCCATGGCTGTCCTGGAGGAAGGCTCTGGCCTCGCCAATCCAAAATCGTCACCTAAAAGATGACAGCTGTTAGTCCCATCAAATAACATGCTACATTAATCACATTCACACACCATTAAGTGGAAGAGTGGGATGGCCTAGTGGTTAAGAGTGTGGGGCCAGTAGCCAAAAGTTTGCTGGTTCAAATCCCCAAGCCGACTAGGTGAAACATCTGTTGATGTGCCCTTGAGCAAGGCACTTAACCCAAGTTACTCTGGATAAGAACATAATGTAAAAGAGTGGTAGGGGTAAATGAGGCCAGTGTGGGAGTGATTACTGAATAGGCAGAACTCAACAGTCCCTCTGGACAAGTTCTTCTCTAATCCATGTTTAATACTTCTACAAAATGATGCTGTACTACAGGAACCCAACCTTCAAATCCGTAAACCACATTTTCACAAAAGAGGGAAGGTAAAGGGTTGAGAAAAACAAAACAAAAACAAAGCTCAACCTACTAGGAAAACACACAGAGGAAAGCACTGAAAATATTTCCAAAAAGTACATGCAAATACAAGTAAGATCCAGAACAAGGCCCTTGAAAAAGTTTAGAAAAATAGAGTAGCTTTATACCTGCTTTCTCGATGGCCTTAGTTGTTGAGCGAGAGTAAGGGGGGAGGGGGGGGGCAGGGAAAGAAAACCGAACCAAAGCACACTGCTTCCACTTCCTTTCCCCACCCGGCGCACACGTTCAGCCACGATCATGTGACAATAGCTGCTGTTCTATTGGTTCCTTCTGCACAGCCCAGATGGAGCATGCTCAGTCAACATGTGTGGCTACTTTTCAGAAGCAGCAGTGCATCAGCCGGCCAGAGAGTGGCACAGCAGTACCATGGAAATATTGGGTAATATAGCCAACGATTTGTAACTAAACCCGTATAGCTCCAGCAAAGACCTTTCACTCTACAACCACATTAAACAATGTATTTGTCTTCTTCGGTGGGGTTTTAGAGCGGACTACATCCTGAAAAGGTGTATTGCCGCCCACTACTGGAAAACTAAAAGGGGGAAATCCGTATTGCAATATGATACTACTGCAATGATGACAAGACCATTGAAATGTATGATTTTTTTGTTGCCAAATACTTTATACACAAACAAAAATTCCAGAAGTAAGTACAAATATTTCGGATCGAATTCAATCATCTAGTTAAAATATCATCCCTAGTTAATAACAAAAATACTGACATCTTGAATCATAATTAGATTTTTTCCTGAGTAAATCCAATTGCCCTCTTTATTTTTATGTGTATGTATTTAAGGTATTCTTGTTTTACCTGTGTGTTTTGTTTTGCTGTAGACGTGTTTGATGTAACTTGTTGATTGCTGATTATTTGTATAACAAATATTTGTGCCTGATATTTGTGATTTCTATTTTAAAAAAAAGTGGGAATGGGGAAAAAACTAAAACTCTTAAAGGCCCAGTGCAGTCAAAAACCTGATTTTCCGAGAAGGGTTTAACTGCGGCCTGGAATTCGGGGCGTTCTTGCATGTGGGTATTATTGCATCTGCAGGAACCCCTCTTTATACTTCTATTGGTCCATTTTTAAGCTAGGACTCCAGTACACATGATGGGCGCGGCGGCGCTCCGGTAGAGTAGGTGGCGGTAATGCACCTTCGTGGTTTACTGGCGGTTGACATCCACAGAATGAAGAAGAAGCAGAAGAAGGGCGGCACTGAGTTGTCACAAGTTACCATAGCCACAAAGTCAAAATTGGCCATCATAAAAATTCATGAAAACAAAAATGTATATTTTTGATCTTCATTTAAGGTTAGGAATAAGACTAGCAGTGTGGTTAGAGTTAAGGTTTGTGGCTGTGGTAACTAGGGACGACCAATTATGTATTCTCTCCAGTGTTACACTTCATTTATTTCGTTATAGAATCATAGCCACGCTAAGGGATCTGAAGGAACTGCAGCACTCCTGATAAATTGAAATACATTTGCCAAAGTTATGGAATTACAGCTGTCTGTTCAGACATACATTAAATCATCAGAATAGCCTACTACACCATGAGAAGGCCTATAATTTAACTACAGAGGATCAATAGCTTCTTTTTTTAAATAGCCTATCTGTGGATTGTAGCCCAATAACAAAGAATAGCCTACGGTCGGGAACGAGCGACAAATATGTCAATGAACAAACAGCATGCAGACAAAACAGGCCTTTCGCAATATTTCAAACACAGACTATGCTGTAGGCTACCAAAATATTTGATCAACTTCCAAATATTGTTTTAGAAAGTAAAACGAGATAGGCTTTTGACACTAGCGCATCGGTCATCACCAGCGAGTGAGCTGCGCATCATTGGGTGAGTCAGTGAACTGGAAAGCATTTTTAGGACTATAATTTCGTCATATTGTAGCCTACAATATGTCTCCACACACCTAGGCCTGGGCTATTGATGGATTCAAGACAAGGTCGTTGTTATTGATCTCAGATTCTCAGTTTGTCAGTGTCAAAGTAGCCTGCCATTTCGATCATTTGTGTGGTATTAAAAAAGATTCTGCCAAAGTCTCCAGTCATGTAAAAGGACGTAGAAAAGCATGAAATGCGTTTATATTCATTTATATATTTGTTTTCGGACCCTAGGCTACTATTAATGTTCCCCATGTGTGCAACTTCGGTAAATGCCTCTACTCTACACCACGACGCAAAGCGATGATATGCATGCAATGCCTTTTACAAAAGTGATTTTATTTCCTCATGCTTTCCGGTACCTCAGAACTTCCCCTCAAGCGCTCACTTTTTGATCCGGCACCTCCAGATTTACAAACTAAGCAACAGATGGAAATAAACCCTGGATTGCTGATGCTATGTATTGGCCAATGAGAGATTTTGAAGCCACATTGGCATGCCCCATAAGGCGCAGTCCTCCATAGTAATGACTGGAATTCTACAGTATTTCATTTAAACGTTAAGGACAAAATTACATGTATTTAAGTATTGTTGTTGTTGTAGTGGCGACAGTAACATTAGAACTAAAAATATACTTTAAGGAAAATGTTTTCATATATTTTATACAAACAAAAAATGTTTAGCTCACAATATAGTTAAAGTATTCATTAATGTGTCTGTAATAGAATAAACGTGGCAAAAACAAAAAGGTAGACGTTTATAAATGCATTTCTATTGCTTCCAAAAATAAATGTGGGGGAGTACCAAGATGGAGGCACAGTGGCTTCAAAACAAGCCATCTAGTGTATATACACTGCTCAAAAAAATATAGGGAACACTTAAACAACACAATGTAACTCCAAGTCAATCACACTTCTGTGAAATCAAACTGTCCACTTAGGAAGCAACACTGATTGACAATACATTTCACATGCTGTTGTGCAAATGGAATAGACAACAGGTGGAAATTATAGGCAATTAGCAAGACACCCCCAATAAAGGACTGGTTTTGCAGGTGGTGACCACAGACCACTTCTCAGTTCCTATGCTTCCTGGCTGATGTTTTGGTCACTTTTGAATGCTGGCGGTGCTTTCACTCTAGTGGTAGCATGAGACGGAGTCTACAACCCACACAAGTGGCTCAGGTAGTGCAGCTCATCCAGGATGGCACATCAATGCGAGCTGTGGCAAGAAGGTTTGCTGTGTCTGTCAGTGTAGTGTCCAGAGCATGGAGGCGCTACCAGGAGACAGGCCAGTACATCAGGAGACGTGGAGGAGGCCGTAGGAGGGCAACAACCCAGCAGCAGGACTGCTACCTCCGCCTTTGTGCAAGGAGGAGCAGGAGGAGCACTGCCAGAGCCCTACAAAATGACCTCCAGCAGGCCACAAATGTGCATGTCTGCTCAAACGGTCAGAAACAGACTCCATGAGGGTGGTATGAGGGCCCGACGTCCACAGGTGGGGGTTGTGCTTACAGCCCAACACCATGCAGGACGTTTGGCATTTGCCAGAGAACACCAAGATTGGCAAATTCGCCACTGGCGCCCTGTGCTCTTCACAGATGAAAGCAGGTTCACACTGAGCACGTGACAGACGTGACAGAGTCTGGAGACGCTGTGGAGAACGTTCTGCTGCCTGCAACATCCTCCAGCATGACCGGTTTGGCGGTGGGTCAGTCATGGTGTGGGGTGGCATTTCTTTGGGGGGGCCGCACAGCCCTCCATGTGCTCGCCAGAGGTAGCCTGACTGCCATTAGGTACCGAGATGAGATCCTCAGACCCCTTGTGAGACCATATGCTAGTGCGGTTGGCCCTGGGTTCCTCCTAATGCAAGACAATGCTAGACCTCATGTGGCTGGAGTGTGTCAGCAGTTCCTGCAAGAGGAAGGCATTGATGCTATGGACTGGCCCGTCCGTTCCCCAGACCTGAATCCAATTGAGCACATCTGGGACATCATGTCTCGCTCCATCCACCAACGCCACGTTGCACCCCAGACTGTCCAGGAGTTGGCGGATGCTTTAGTCCAGGTCTGGGAGGAGATCCCTCAGGAGACCATCCGCCACCTCATCAGGAGCATGCCCAGGCGTTGTAGGGAGGTCATACAGGCACGTGGAGGCCACACACACTACTGAGCCTCATTTTGACTTGTTTTAAGGACATTACATCAAAGTTGGATCAGCCTGTAGTGTGGTTTTCCACTTTAGTTTTGAGGGTGACTCCAAATCCAGACCTCCATGGGTTGATAAATTTGATTTCCATTGATAATTTGTGTGTGATTTTGTTGTCAGCACATTCAACTATGTAAATAAAAAGTATTTAATAAGATTATTTCATTCATTCAGATCTAGGATGTGTTATTTTAGTGTTCCCTTTATTTTTTTGAGCAGTGGATAAATAATTGGTGACTACCCCGGTACTGCTTTCCCGCAGTTCTGTTAAAGACAGCAGGTGTTTGGCAGGCAGGAGCGAAGAACACAGTGTGCTAGCTAGCTAGGACTCCAGTACACAGCAGGCGGGAGCATCAAAATAATCCATTTTAAAGAGGTTTAGCCATCAGTGACGGAGTTGACAACAGATACTCAAAACAGTCATTGTTTCCTCTAAAAATTCAATACAAATGTTTGTAAAATATAAACAATTATTCATTTGAAAATCCCCAATAAAAACAACCATTCTATCAGATCTTTCAGCACTCTGACAGAGTTGACGTTAGACAAAAATCTGATGGAGTTGATGTTTTATGGAGTTGACAAAACTAGCCTTTTTCTTAATTCAAGTGGTATACAAAGTAGCAATTTAGTTGTTCCTCAGTTGCTTTGACTTGAAAGCCTAATTAAAAAAACAACAACATTTGAATCACAATTCCTATTCTATCAGGAAGATGGAGTTGGCAGTTTATAGTTGTGACCATGGCGACTTCAATATTGTTTGTTTAAATCTATCAAAAGTAGATCACTTTACAGACCATAAATAGAGGCTACATGTAATGAGGACATTAAGGGGTCCTTATTGCATAGCTGACCCTGCTCATTCCTGATTCATTTAGGATTTTAGACAAATCTGACAGTGTTGACCAAATCTCCATAAAAAAAAAGAATCACTGTTTAAATAAATATATTCTTTAGTCATAGAGGGCCATTTCAAGAAACTACATAAGATCCCTTTTCAGTTAGTATACATAATAGCACGTTTTTAGAATTTTATACACTTTTTGGGACAGTTTGAAATTGGGATGCTCTGCTCCAGACAAGCTTTAAAAAATTAAACTATAAAAATAAAGTTTCCCTGCCGGACAATAATTGTCCCGACTTTCAAGAATCCCTGTCGAGCAGACATCTTCTTCTATGTTGGACTGCAAGAACCTTCATGTTTACAACTGACAAATGGGCCTAAAACTAGAGATGTACAATTACCCTGGCATAAAAAAACAAAGCAAAACAAAAATGGTGAAACATACAACACAATTTTATTAGGTTGTGCATTGTAGATTATCATATTTCCTATGCATACAACATTATTTGGATATAGTGAATTGTCTATGAATAGACAGTTAAGTGAAAACAAATAAACATACAGGTTACATAAAACATAGCCTGGGTAGTTGCTAGTGGGCTTTATGGATCTTCACTTGGTTTCAAACATCACAGATGCCATTTCAACATATTCTAAACTAATTCTAAATTACCCTGACTTAACTTTTAAAACTTGTCTCCAGCTATAAAAACTGTTTACGTAAAAACACATTACTGTCCTGAAAGTGCAAAAATTGTGTGAAAGCAATCAGTAGTCATAAAAAGGTGTTGATTAACCTGGGCTGATGTACTTAAGAGGGCTATCTGGCAGCATGATCCAGTAGTAGAGAGGTTGGTTGTCATGTTCAGTGTACCGTGTCATGACATTGTTTATGTGTTGCTGCTACAGCTCTCCACATAGCTGGGAAGAGCCTCTGTAACAGAGAGGACAGAGGATATTAGTTATCAGACAGAGACATTATTACACAAGACCCACCTAACTACATACTTTCCATCAGAAAGGACATGAGGTCACGACAAAACTTACAAAGCAAAGGCATAACTGTCTAAGGTGTGGCAATTAGACTTTCATTCATATTGGATATTAGCCAATATTCTCAAACCAGCCACAACTGATACATTGAGATGACAATACAATACTAGAAACACCTTACCCAAATACTAATATCAAACTGCAATAAGATAACTTTGAGTAAAAAGTAAATAGCATTAGCACCGCCAGTCACTACAGGTTATTTAACAGCGTGTGAGACTGACCATGTGGGAGTGTTGAGGGGCTGTACTCTGGAGGCAGGAGTGGGTAGAGGGTAGGCATGGGGTTGGCACTGCCCTCAGAGAAGAATGGGATGGTGGCCCCTGTGGACACACAGAACAAAGGTCCCGATGTGTTTGAGGCGTCACTCCGGGACTGGTTCTGGGAGAAGGTGAGGCCTGGGGCATAGCTGAAGGCACTGGGGGAGACAGTGGCCTGAGGGCTCAAGGCAGCTAGCTGGGAGTGGCTCTCGGTAGGGAGGGCCTCGGTCGCCTGCCCCCTGGCCCCCATGGCCAGATAGTCCATCTCAGCTGGAGGGGCGCTGGGGGAGGCAGGGGCGGAAGTGGAGACTCTGATCCTGGGAACAGGTTTTGGGGCTGGGCGGGGGGCAGGGGTAGTAGTAGGAGTTCCTTGGTATTGGGAGGATGGCTCAGAGCGTCTGCTGTTTTCTAGCTTGGTAGGCTTTGCGGAGGAGCGAGCAGGATCGGTGGTCGGAGGGGGTCTGGAGGGTTGTGCTGACGTGGTATCCACTGAGATGTTTCCAATGTGGATGGGCAACAAAAACGAAGCCTCAGGAGATTTCAGAGAGATCTAAAGTACCAGGGATAGAAGGTTTTATCAAAACATGGGCACTAAACTGTGGACCAAAGGTTTTCGCTGTAGAGGAAACAGTAGAGGAATGTTATCATGAAGAGAAAAGTTGCTTACTTGAATAAAGTATTCCATGTTTATTAGACCACAGCCAGCCAGAGATGACTGGGGCAGAGGAGGTACGATAATCTGCTCCTTCCACTCAACCTGTTTGCCAGCCTTCACCCCAGAACCCTCCACCTGCACTAAAGTCCTCAAGTCAATGGTAGGCTTCTTTGTCTGGTAAGTCACTTTCTGTTGGAGATGAGCACACAGAAATATGGTAGATAATGATTGAGTGACTAAAATAAAGCAATCCCTTTATATCTCACCTACACATTGAGGCAAGAATTACCACATTGCAGCTATATAACACCATTGACACAAACATACTTTGTTGAAACGCTCTTCTCTTGTACATCCTTAGCCTTGCTTTATTTCAAGCACTGTAGACTCTAGGTCAGTACTCTATACCTGCATGAGACAGGCTATCACAGTCCCTGTGGTTTTCCCAGACTGGTTGTGGATCTCTGTGGTCAGTTGGATGACCTGACCAGGTGTGTAGCCCTTCATGTCACTATGGGCCTTCAGCACCACAGTTCCTGTCTTTACCCCCAGCAGGTAGGTGAACTTCTTAGTAACGGAAGATGAACTAGGTCCCTGGAAACAGATGGGAAAGATAAGGTTAAGACCAGATTCACCAATGTCCAGTGTCTGAGGTTTGGATATCTCTGATAAAGTGAAAAGGTATCAAATCTGCCAGGGAAGCTCTCACATTGATGTCAGGTACATCATTGAGGTTGAGGAGACTCAGCAGGTAGAAAGGCTTCTCAGTCTTATAGTCCTTAGAGAAGCGAGGAGTGTCAATGAAAGCCCTCACTCTGTACATAACCTTTCCATAGTTTCCTTCAAAGGATGTGGGAACAGAGGCTATATGGGGGTGGAAGGAGTAAAGTTATTTAGCACAGGATGTCTTTTCACGGTGGCAAGAATATTGGCAAAAACAGTGGCAACACAAATGGCCTGTATCTAATTGTTTTACAATTGAAAGTCTTGACGGTGTAAATTGAACAGCAGATGCAAGTTTCAAATGACAGATTTTAAATCAGAATGAACAGTTCTGGTCAGGTTGGTTTGTGCTTCTGTGGTATGTTTCACATACGTTGTTATGAAAGACAGCTTTGTCAGAGTGAAAGGGAATCCCTTCTCAACTGGAAAGGCAGTCTGTCAGATCTTAACGATAAGTAATGAGTGGAGGGTTTATGATGTTATCATGGGGCTCCCCTCCCTGTGAGCTATTGCATAGACAAGGCAGAATACGTGATATAGTTTATATAATGATCTATCGGACTAATTTCCTTAGCATGCAAAGTGTAACGGTTCAATAATCAGGAGTCATACTTTGAAACAAAAAGAGAAGTAGGCCATGACAGATTGTTAGCATAAATGACCATGAGACAAAACATAACATAAGGGAGGAAGCCACTGCCATACCAGTACAGGGGATAGCATAACAATGATAACAGGTGGAATTGGGAACTAAGCAGTTCAGCTTACACACCTCGGGGCATCAATGCTCTCTCTCAGTCCCTACCATACTAGTCAACAAGGGAAAAGGAGGCTAATGACAAGGGCACAATCTCAACTAATGCATTAAAATGGTTTATTACAGATTAACTAATATATATATATATAAGCTAATAACGAAACATTTATAAACTACTTATAACCCTTCTATACCTTTATGTACAGTGTTACCTCAACCTCTTATAAACTCATTGGCACGAGTAAGTTATTTTAGAGGCTCACATCAATTACTCTGCCAATGTGCAGTCATTTGTAGCTCAATTTCCATTCTAGAGACATGGCAACGGTCCCCATGGTAATCCTCATCCTCATAATCATTCATGTAGAGACTCAGGAAATGGCATTGTACTACATTTCTCACATTACTTCAGCTTATAATGAACGAGCCATGTCAAAACTAAAGTAACTATTCACATGCCAGGGCATTACCGATTTTATAGAATGTGAGGAAAAAACATATGTTTGAAACAATGTGGTGCAACAAGTGTGCAAAGCTCCATCACTCAGCGGCCTTACCTGGAATGAGAAACTTGAATGGAAAACTGTGATCTCCCTGTTTCAGGGTTCCTGGGACACAGGAAGAAAGATAAGCATCAGATCAGCTGGCTGGAAAACATTCTGTCCATTTAACAATGGCTGTGTTGTTCCTCTTCTATGAATCACATTCAACTTTCAGGGTAGAAGGGGAACCTCTCAGAATAGGGATTAAATGTTTGTTTACCTTTTCCTTCTTACATACACTACCAGTCAAAAGTTTGGACACAACTACTCATTCAAATTGTAGAAAAGTAGTGAAGAAATCAAAACTATGAAATAACATATGGAATCATGTAGTAACCAGAAAAGTGTTAAACAAATCAAAATATATTTTATATTTGAGATTCTTCAAATAGCCACCCATTCTTTGCCTTGATGACAGCTTTGCACACTCTTGGCATTCTCTCAACCAGCTTCATGAGGTAGTCACCTCGAATGCATTTCAATTAACAGTTGTGCCTTCTTAAAAAGTTAATTTGTGGAATTTATTTCCTTCTTAATGCGTTTGAGCCAATCAGTTGTGTTGTGACAAGGTGGGGGGGGGGTATACAGAAGATAGCCCTATTTGGTAAAAGACCAAGAACAGCTCAAATAAGCAAAGAACCGACAGTCCATCATTACTTTAAGACATGAAGGTCAGTCAATACGGAACTTTTAAAGTTTCTTCAAGTGCAAACGCAAAAACCATCAAGCGCTATGATGAAACTGGCTCTCATGAGGACCGCCACAGGAATGGAAGACCCAGAGTTACCTCTGCTGCAGAGGATAAGTTCATTAGAGTTACCAGCCTCAGAAATTGCAGCCCAAATAAATGCGTCACAGAGTTCAAGTCACAGACACATCTCAACATCAACTGCTCAGAGTGGACTGTGTGAATCAGGCCTTCATGGTTGAATTGCTGCAAAGAAACCACAACTTAAGGACACCAATAAGAAGAAGAGACCTACTTGGGCCAAGAAACACGAGCAATGGACATTAGACTGGTGGAATTTTTTCTTTGGTCTGGAGTCCAAATTTGAGATTTTTGGTTCCAACCGCCACGTCTTTGTGATACACGGTGTGGGTGAACGGATGATCTCCGCATGTGTAGTTCCCACCGTAAAGCATGGAGGAGGAGGTGTTATGGTGTGGGGGTGCTTTGCTGGTGACACTGTCTGTGATTTATTTAGAATTCAAGACACTTAACCAGCATGGCTACCACAGCATTCTGCAGCGATACGCCATCCCATCTGGTTTGGGCTTAGTGGGACTATCATTTGTTTTTCAACAGGACAATGACCCAACACACCACCAGGCTGTGTAAGGGCTATTTTACCAAGAAGGAGAGTGATGAGTGCTGCATCAGATGACCAGGCCTCCACAATCCCCCGACCTCAACCCAATTGAGATGGTTTGGGATGAGTCGGATTGCAGAGTGAAGGAAAAGCAGCCAACAAGTGCTCAGCATATGTGGGAACTCCTTCAAGACTGTTTGGAAAAGCATTCCAAGTGAAGCTGGTTGAGAGAATGCCAAGAGTGTGCAAAGCCGTCAAAGGCTACTTTTCCATTTGTGTTATTTCATAGTTTTGATGTCTTCACTATTATTCTACAATGTAGAAAATAGTAAAAAGAAAGAAAAACCCTTGAATGAGTAGGTGTGTCCAAACTTTTGACTTATACTGTATGTATGTGATAAAATAACATCTCCATTTCAAAGGAAACAGTTACACTATAACTGAAGTGTGTCAGTAAGAAGTGGAAAAGGGAGGTGAATATGTGGCCTAAAACTAAAGGTGAGCAGGTCATGACCCAGTTGACAGTACCTTTATCTGCCACAGAGAGAGTGCTGCTGAAGTACTGCTCTTCATCTGTCCAGGCTGTGTCATTGCTCTTGCTGGTGACACCACAGAAGCCTTGGCAATTCACTTTGATATCTGCAGGGATAATACACAGCAAAACACAGATCTATTAACTTCACAAGAAAATAAGATAACTTAAGGTCCTTAGATTGCCAAACAAATGGCAGATAGAAACAGATGCAGACCACATCAATCAATTATTGATAGCCCTTTTAGGAGAGTTTACATTCTAAGGGATATTCTCCTGAAAACAAAGCCCCAACCCACCTATTGTTAACACCTAACACGTCACACAGAATATATTCTTAAAAACAGAACTAAAAAACAAACTCTCAAATAATGAGGGATCCTAAAACAAAGTCAAACAGACAAAACAGTTTTCCTGGCGTGACATAATGTGACACACTTGATCAGTTTGTTTTTGTTATGTGAGTCATATACCTGGCAGCGAAACTCAAACACACTAAAGTCACACAAGCCAATGAGCACATCAATTAAAGGGTGCTAAATGGGAGTCCTAGCGGGGAAACAGCTCTTGGCCAGTAGTGGGTTATCACCCACACCCACATTAATTCATAGTTCAATCAATCATAATTCTGGATGGAGCCCAAAAACACACTGACAGTCCTGGAGGAGGACAGCCAAGTAAAAACTAATCAACAAACCCTGTGGAAGTATAAACTTCAGTACTCTGATATTCAACTAGATATTCAGGCTAAAATTATACAAGATAAGTTTAATTATAACTTCTCATAACGACAATCATATAATGTTGAAAAAAGTAGACTTCTTAAGAACATGAGAGAGGATCCACTTTACACAGTCTAAAAATGTGATATTGTTAAGAGTACCACCTGTTGTGAAAATTGAATGTTAAGTCCTCACAAAGGGTCAGATAACCAATACTGTGGTAACTTGGGAAGGTTATGAAGTTCATAAGACATCAGTTAACAATAACAGTGCAGCCAGTGAGACTGTGTTCAGTATCTAAATGCATGACTCAAGCTGCTTCAGCCTGATCTGCTATTCCTGACCTGGAATGTAAACAAACCGGAGCTTTAACACAAGACATTGAGCCGAAACTCCCATGACACAAAACGTCTTTAGTGTGTTTAGAGGGCAATTTAGTTTTCATGTTCACTAAGGTTCAGAGAAAATGTATCTTCAACTATTTGTGTTTTACCATGAACACAGATAATATTTTTTGGGGTTGTTCTTTAACTCCACCACCTACTGTCTAAACAGCAATGAAAAAAAATTAAATGGGCTTACCTCAAAACATGTTTGATCACCCCCAGGGCAATTTTGATGACTAGATTAGTGTTTTTGTTCTACTATAACAACAGGTGATAGGGATGAGGGTGTCCACCAGCTGTCAATAGCGATTTGATACTTGGGACAGGGGCAGCACTTTGAGATCCTTTCATAAGGCACACAGCTCTGGCCCATTGAACAATTCAATGTTATATCCTACTACAATTCTGAGCTTATCATTTCTACTTCTATACTTGCCAATTGCCATTTAATCCTTGGTATAAATGTTAATAGCTAGACAAAGTTTTTTTGTTTTACCTTTAAGATATGGTAAATTACAACAAATTATGTTAATCAACAGTCCCCAAAAATGAGGGTAGAATTTGCCTCTCTGACAACACTAACACGAGAGACTGATCACCCCCCTAGTCTACCTACATTTACATTTTAGCTCTTATCCAGAGCGACTTACAGGAGCAATTAGGGTTAAGTGCCTTGCTCAAGGGCACATCGACATATTTTTCACCTAGTCGGCTCGGGGATTAGAACTGTAGCTCAGCTGGTAGAGCACGGCGCTTGTAACGCCAGGGTAGTGGGTACAATCCCCGGGACCACCCATACACAAAAATGTATGCACGCATGACTGTAAGTCGCTTTGAATAAAAGCGTCTGCTAAAAGGCATATTATTATTATTTATTATAGAACCAGCGACCTTTCGGTTACTGGCACAACGCTCTTAACCACTAAACTACCTGCCGCCCATACCTGAATTATTTACACATTTGTTGTACACATTCATCACCAGAAAATAATAAAATATAAAAAAATTCAATGTAGGCTACTGTAAATAAAACGTGTCACAAATCACAATTGCATGGCATGACCATTGTGTTTGCTTCAGTGGAACACTAATGTTACTTCCTTGTCCGAGGAGACGACGGATTCACGACAGGTGAAAGAAAGTTGCCAATGACTGTTAAATGGTGACGTTTTCAGAACCTTACCTTTACATAGCAGCGCTTCGGTGGTTGTGATTTTCAGAGTGCCTGAAATTGACTCCCCGGGACTATAAACAACTTTATTGTCTTTCAAAGTTATGTCGAATTCTTGGAGTTTTCCCATGTTTTCCACCGCGAGCGGGTGGCACCGACTGTTCTATCACCTGTGCGCACTGCGCTGTGGTCTCGACGTGACGTCACTAACAGGAAACAGCTCTTTTTATTCATATAGCAGTCTCGTATTAAATACATTTTAAACACAAAATATCTAAATATATCTCACATAAAATGTATCTCACATATCTCAATTAAATACTTTGTGAAATGTTATGCATACGGGTCTTGTATTGTAAACAAAATATCATATTATTTTTCAATGGGTAAATCCATTTGAATTCAATCACTTTGTGACAGCATCCCTTTTGTTTTAAACTTTCCTTACATGTTTGCCCATGGAAGAAGTGGTCAGAAAGTGAATTTTTGGACCTGAATTAGATAAAGGTGCTCAAAGTTGACCCATTTTGCATACTTCACCCTAGCATGAGACATCCATGTCTTCATCACTGGAAAATATAAACGTTTGAGTTTAATATCATTAAAACGTTTTCTAATAAAAATGATGCCATTTTTTTTTTTACCTTTAACGTCAATTATCTATTAACGTGTAAACGTTAAATATTCGCATATGTTGTAGTTTAGACCCTATTTTACATCATCTGAGGTTTTTGTGATGTGCCCCCATTGGTTGAGACGCATGCTCTTGATTACAGGGTGGGTGTCAGTTTAATCATAGAAATATAATTCATATAATGGACCTATCCCTTCAGACCCCTGCAATTTATCTGGTACACCATTTACATTTTAATTGAACTGAAATTGTAACTTCTAATTACTACAACAAAGATGTCCGCCAAAGGGGTCAACTTTGAGACCTTTTATCTCTTGAATGTATTGGCATTCAAGTCCAAAAAGGTCACTTTCTGAGCACTTCTACAATGGGCAAATACAATATATATACAAAAGTATGTGGACACCCCTTCAAATGAGTGGATTTGGCTATTTCAGCCACACCCACTGCTGACAGGGGTATAAAATCGAGCACACAGCCATGCAATCTCCATAGACAAACACTTGCAGTAGAATAGCCTTACTGAAGAGCTCAGTGACTTTCAACGTGGCACCATCAAAGGATGCCACCTTTCCAACAAGTCAGTTTGTCAAATGTCTGCCTTGCTAGAGCTGCCCCAGTCAACTGTAAGTGCTGTTATTGTGAAGTGGAAACATCTCGGAGCAACAAGGGCTCAGCCGCGAAGTTGTAGGCCACACAAGCTCACAGAACGGGACCGCCGAGTGCTGAAGCATGTAGCGCATAAAAAACGTCTGTCCTCGGTTGCAACACTCACTACCGAGTTCCAAACTGCCTCTGGAAGCAACGTCAGCACAAGAACTGTTCGTCGGGAAATATATGAAATGGGTTTCCATGGCTGAGCAGTCGCACACAAGCCTAAGATCGCCATGTGCAATGCCAAGCGTCGTCTGGAGTGGTGTAAAGCTTGCCGCCAATGGACTGACTATCACACTTCACCATCTAGCAGTCCAACAGACAAATCATAGTGCCAACTGTAAAGTTTGGTGGAGGAGGAATAATGGTCTGGGGCTGTTTTTCATGGTTCGAGCTAGGCCCCTTAGTTCCAGTGAAGGGAAATCTTAACGTTACAGCATACAATGACATTCTAGACGATTCTGTGCTTCCAACATTGTTGCAAAAGTTTGGGAAAGACCCTTTCCTGTTTCAGCATGACAATGCCCCTGTGCACAAAGCGAGGTCCATACAGAAATGGTTTGTCGAGATCGATGTGGAAGAACTTGACTGGCCTGCACAGAGCCCTGACCTCAAACCCATCGAACACCTTTGGGATGAAATGGAACGTCGACTGCAAGCCAGGCCTAATCGCCCTACATCAGTGCCCGACCATACTAATGCTCTTGTTCCAACATCTAGTGGAAAGCCTTCCCAGTGAGTGGAGGCTGTTATAGCAGCAAAGGGGGACCAACTCCATATTAATGCCCATGATTTTGGAATGAGATGTTCGACGAGCAGGTGTCCACATACTTTTGGTCGTGTGTATGTATGGAAGGTTTCGTTCAAATCAAAAAGGGGTGCTGTCAAAAAGTGATTGGGGTAAATCCATTTGAATTCAATGTAATTTTCATACATCAAATTGAAATTGGCTCAGTAAAACATTGTTTTTGGTTACAGGACTGAGACAAATTAGGGTGTCTGATATGCCTACTGTGTGGATAGTCAACACTCCCACCTTAAGTGAGTTTGTGAAATGACAACTATAGACAAATAGAGGTACATTATCTTTTAATCTGGATTTTGAACATGTATTGACCTCATACATTATTTTCAAGTGCAAGGGCTTTTTTCTCAAATAAAAGCAAAAGATCACAGAAACAATAATTATATTACAAAATATGATAACAATTCATACACAATGAAAATAAAAAAACAATTATTAGTTTAACAGTTAAAAATGATCAATGAGACATGAATATGAAACAGAGAAAGCAGCATGCTGTACATAGAATGTGATATATTCAATAACACTGCAGTGTTATTGACAACCTCTGTCTCCAACTCACTCAAAGTTCTATTGTACTTCTTTGAGTGTTCATCTGATCCACCCTGAAGGATCCACCCTGAAATAGCTTTCTAAACGTCTGGGATCCAAAACAATACAGCAGGGGATCCAGGCAACTATTGACACCTGCCAGGATGAATGACACATAATATGCCGTATCCAAATGTCGAAGCATTGTACACGCTTTACTGTATTTGTTTACCACTACCCCTAGTGTACGCACTAAATTGAGTGGTAGAAAGCAGAGCCCAAATATCACTAAGCAGATACCTATCATCCTCTGTGATTTTATCTTAATGGCAAGGCCCCTGGCTGAGTTGATATTGAGTTGAGACACTGAGTTTGCCAGACGACGATAGCTTTCTGCCGCCACTGAGAAAGGCAGAAGGAATCCTAAAATGAATAAGAAGAAGTTAATGACAAAGTAGACATCTGTCAGATTATGCTGATGGATGGTCAGGCATTGGGTACTACCTCCCTCCTTACTGGGTGGAAGAAGGGAAGATAGGACAAGAGCTTCTACTAGAAGCAGTAACCAAACTCCACCACATAACTTCCTTACAAACTCCTTTTGTTTCATACGGGAGCTTTTGTTGAATTGGACAACCGCCACATAACGATGAATGCTGATGAGCATGAGGAACAGGATGCTGCCAAAGAAGTGTGCACTTAGAAGGGCGATCTTGAATACGCACAGTAACGGTCCAAATGTCCACTTGCTGCCGTTGGTTAAGTATACAGCCATCAAGGGAGTTGCAGGGGTGCCAAGGGCATCACTCAGGGCCAAATTGAACTGCAGGATGGTGCCAGAGCTCCAATATGGTATATGGAAACAGAAGACCCACAGACTGAAGCTGTTGAGGAGGAAGCCAACCACAAAGACCAGGAGTAGGATCACAGGGATGGAAACATGTTGGGATTCCACTGTACAGAGCTCAATGTGACTGCGGTTGGCTGGTATGGTGGTTATGTCTGCTGGGATGATGGTCAGGGACTGGAGGGACATAGAGGGTGACTCTGTGCTGGTCATCTTGAGAAGAAATTGATGTAGAGTGGAAATACACTACTGCTTAAAACACCTTTTGAAGGGAAAACAAATGAAGAGTCATATTTAGGATGGGGAAATTATTACCAATGTGTGTATATATATATATATATATATATATATCTATATATATATATATATATATATATATATCAAATTGTTGTTTCTCATTTTCATGCATTTCAACAATTGTATTGTGCAATACTTCATGGGGTGATGTCAAAGGATGATATTGCATTTTACTTTTCCTGTGTTGCCAAATTTTTTGCACTACCTCTCAACAATTATATCTCACAATTGTAAGATTGTCTAAGAATATCCAGTTCACAAACCCAGGTACAGATCTGGATTTAAACAATAACATCCGAAAGGTGAGAAAAGGTAGCCTAAAACTAAACATTTATGAACAATGATTTTAAGATCAAGACTGCAATTCTCAATTTATAACTCTAAATCGTTGACAGTAAGCAAATATGTGTATCTCTCTACCATCTGCCTTTGTCAGAGACAACCTGTTATTATAAGTCCATAAGAAGAGAGAACTTACCAAGACTTGTAAAGCATTACCTCAGTCACACTTGCTGCTCTCAGAATGGGACTACGTGAACGTCTCTTCTCACAACACCTCTAGTAACTTCCTGTATGAGGCAGGGACAGTAATGACAACATTTTACTGATAGGGGAATTTAGTATTTTCTTTATCAGCAGTGCAATCATTAAGCCATAAAAAAATTAGAAAACCTTCCAGTATAACAACTGACTAAAATGGACTTATTACAAATTAAGACTGTGGAAAAGATGCATACAATATACACTTTAATTAGTTTAAAACAGAGCATATTTATAGGTTTTGCTTTACAATTACAGTATGCCTTATGACAGTATCTAATTATATTATAACACATCAATAAAGAATACATTTAAGATCACTCTCAGGGGACATATACAGTTGTGTAAAACGTTTTGAGAATGAAACAAATATTAATTTTCAAAGTCTGCTGCCTCAGTTTTTATGATGGCAATTTGCATATACTCCAGAATGTTATGAAGAGTGATCAGATGAATTGCAATGAATTGCAAAGTCCCTCTTTGCCATGAAAATGAATTTAATCCCAAAAAAACATTTCCACTGCATTTCAGCCCTGCCACAAAAGGACCAGCTGACATCATGTCAGTGATTCTCTCGTTAACACAGGTGAGAGTGTTGACGAGGACAAGGCTGGAGATCACTCTGTCATGCTGATTGAGTTAGAATAACAGACTGGAAGCTTTAAACGGAGGGTGGTGCTTCAAATCATTGTTGTTCCTCTGTTAACCATCGTTACCTGCAAGGAAACACGTGCCGTCCTCATTGCTTTGCACAAAAAGGGCTTCACAGGGAAGGATATTGCTGCTAGTAAGATTGCACCTAAATCAACCATTTATCGGATC